CTTCGAATAAAAATAGCGTCCAAGTTGCAAGACTATGTCGCTACCCCCTTAAATATACAAGAATTTCCCACTGGTACCTATTGTTTGACGGGTCGTTGGAATGCCTAATACTAATCATGCTCTTTTAAATTCTTTAATTACCTTGACTCTTATCAGTATAATGCCATCTGATTGACCAAAGTCGAAGTACGCCAACTAACCTTAAAAACTTGTCAATTGTCCGATTAAGTACACCGTTGCCGGGTTTCTCATATAATTCTCACACGTCTTGAGCATGACAGAACATCTCCCTCTTTTAAAGGTTAGTAGGAGTATAACTTATAACTAACACAACTATTACATAAATTAGTAGGAAACTACAAAGTGTTTGAGATGGCTAGGAATCACAATTTCTCGTCGTGACCTTCTCATTATTGAGGCGTTTCTAGAGGAAGTGGATCCGTAGCCGGACTGTCTCTTTTAATTTCAGTTTCACTCACGCACCCCTTTAAGTCGTCACATTCACCACCAGGAGGGTTTTCGCTATAGTTGCCTACTATTATCGGAGGAGCTGGTGCTGGAGTAATTTCCCTCTTGTTGGTAAAATAAGGTGCAGGAATTAGTGCATGGCGATTTCACCTGAAATCGCCTTCAGTTTTTATCATGTACGATCTCGGTTGGTCTAATATAGAGATAACGTTCCCGTAAATTTTCCTGTCTATTACCCAAATACAGCTCCTATCTCTAAATCTGATAATTTTCTGGCCCGATGTCTTTTGTTAAATTGACTGGCAGTTCTTTCTCTAAATTTAGACTCTTGATCTACAATCTTTTTATCTGGTTTAGATGGACATATAGGTAAAGGGGATCTTAACTTCCTGTTCACATCCCAGTGGAGTGGTCCTATAGGCTAGCAGTGCTTGATATATATCTTTTTTATTTTTATTTGTTTTAATTTCGTAATTATTATGGACTCGGTCATAGAGTATAGTTCAATTATTTCGAAAAATCTCGAATAATAATGCGTAACTATGAGATACCAAGAATCGCTTTTAAACAAGTCTAGAGCTATTTTCTGCCACGGTCGGCTAGGAAAATCTTCTGGAAACAGAGGTTCTTTAGGGTTTGAGCGGTGTTCGATACACTGAGGACAATTTCGGACTACATTTTCAATCTGGGTTGAGAGGCCCAACCACCAAACGGACGCTTTTGCGCGGGCCCGACATTTGACTATTCCTAAGTGTCTCTGATGAATACTATCAAGACAACGTAACTGCAAGCCCCGGGGGGGCAATTATCCGAGAGTTTCTAACCAGTAATCCTTCAGCTAAACTAATTTCGAAACGGTAAGTATAGTAGGGATGTAAATGTTCCTCTATTTTGGTTTTAGTTGGCCATCCCGAATTATAATATTCTATTCATTTTTGATACACTGGATAAAGATCCAATCTAAAGAGATTGCTCAATCTTAATTTCCTCAAGGAAATATAGTTTAACTTGAACAGAATTTACTATTAAATTAACGTGAGCTTCAACTTCCTGAGCTAATTCTTCATCTTCTGGGAAAGGGCAATCTTTAGGGAAATTTTGGCTATATTTAAATTTTTTCCCGGGGTATAATAAATGCCGTAACTATATATTTCATCAACCTAATTCGAAAGCGTTCAAGCGAGGAGCCAACTCATCAATTGGTTTTGTTTGTAGAAGTTTAATAAATGGTTTATGATCGGTTTCAAATAATACCGGTATTCCAGTAATTTATTCTTGAAATTTATCCGCGGCCCACGCTATGGCTAATGCCTCACGTTCAATTTGGGCATATCTCTTTTCAGTCGGTGAAAGCAAACGCAATTACTTCTTTCTGATTCACCTGGGATTGAATCAAACATGTCCCAAGTCCGAAAGAAGAAGCACCCTAGACATGGACTTTTTATAACAGTAATTTAATTTTTTCAAATGATTCTTTTTGACTGGTATCCCAGAGATAACCTACATTTTTCCTTAACAAGGATGTTAAAGGTCCAAGAACTTGTGAGCTATCAGGTATAAACCTGCTTGATAAATTTTTTACCCTTCAATACTTTTCACAAGCTTTTACCGCTGCCACCATGTTTTGTTCGATATATTCTGATGGAGAATAATATTAATGCTCTTTTAAGCTCTTATCAGATTGACCAAAGTCGAAGTACGCCAACTAACCTTCAAAACTTGTCAAATGTCCGATTAAGTACACCGTTGCCGGGTTTCTCATATAATTTTCACACGTCTTGAGCATGACAGAACATCTTACATAATTGGCCCACTGAGTATCGGTAACATTACTCAAAGCTTCTGACGAAGTCTGAAATTCATCTTCCGATGACGACTTTGTTGTTAAAATGTTTTCGTCCTAAAACCATTTGCAATGTGACCACACTTCTCCATCACATTGTACCGGCAGTGATATGGAGGAGATCTTAATATTTTATGCCCATATACCGCAACATATCTATCTAGATGGAATTCTTTTCGTGGTAGATTTTGACGTACAACTTCCCAAATCTGATATTTCATACCATTGATTGGATAATTAATGTTCTTTTCTGCAACCATTTTATCAATTTATTTTTTGTGCAACTATAACATGGAATTGGTTCCACGTACCGCGAATGATAACTGGCATTATCGATTATAATTAAAGATGGATGTTCCAGACTAGGTATAAATTTCGTATTAAACCATTTTTTAAATTTTTTTTTTGTTTATGTTATTATGGTAACCCGCGTTTTGTTTGACTTTTAGATATGAGGTCTGCATTTTTTATAAACCCTTCTTCATTGCCATCATGGACAATTATGTATCCTATTCAATCTTCTGTATTTTACTTGCAGTAGTCATCGTTCCATCTTGCCAACTTTTTCTTTCACTTCCCTTGCTATATACCTATGTCTCATTCATAAATACAGGCTTGAAGTTACCCACCTCTATCTCCTTGTTAACATTTTTCAAAAACCATTTTTTTTTTTTTTTTTTTAACTGAGACGATTCCAATAAAAAATGTTACTTCTTTTAAAGCGAAAACCAATTTTTCGAATCCATATATTAATTGACCGTGCAGAACATTTCACATCAGGCATTTCTTCCGAAAATCGTTTGTGTAACGATTTCATTGTTACATGTTGCTCACCTTCGTACATCTTATGTATAACTTGCCTCAACTTACTTAATATTAGAGAATTGACTTTTGTTTTAGTTTGCCTTACTTTTTTAGACATTATTTTCACATACACTGTAACAGAATTTATTGATAGTTATAGATAGTTTTCTGCGAAACATTTAATGCCTCTGCAGCTATTTGATTGTACCTCTTTCCAAGAGCCTCGCAAATAGATTTGTGTCTCTTAAAATAGGACACTAGAAACTACGTTTAGGATTATAGTTTTTTATTGATCATTAGATCGTTTCACCATTTTGTTAAATACTATTAAAAACTTTTGAAATATCAAAATATACAGACACATACTAAAGGTATGCTGACTTTCGATTCAAAATTCGTCCAAACCGCGCATGACGTAATGCGGGACGAATTTTCAAGTTATTTTGACTCTTCGATTGAGTAGTGTAAAATAATTTAATAATTTATATGTTTTTGTGTTAGTAGTGACTATATTTTCCTATATATAACAGGGAAGAACTAAATTATAAGCATTAAATGGGAGATAGTGTTCAAAATTCGATATTTTGCCAATTCTAGATTTTATGCAGTTACTTAAGCGTTATTGGTTATTTTGTAATATATTCGTTTACGAATATAAAGGTTTAAGGTAAATAATAATAATAAAAATATTAATTTTTCTCATAAATTATAGGTATTTTGTGACAAAATCCATAATCTGGCCATAAGATAAGTAAAAGATATAAACTAAAAATACAAGTTTGACTTAAATTTGTACTTTCTGGGCGTAGCAGTTCTCTTGCAATCTCTTTTCTTATTATGTAAAATAAAAATAAGTGTGCAGAAACAAATTATTCATTTACAAGAAGTAAGTACAGAAAAACATTACTTTTTATTTGGCAAATTCAAAATTTTTTTGTCAAGTTTACTTTGAAAATACTCAAAACCAATTTTCCTGTTCATTTATCTTATTCTTATATATGTTCGTAACTTGCTCATGCATGGCATTACTTCAAAAGGACCGTTGTATTGGGACAGGAAACTACTGTTTTATCTGCTAAAATTTTTTAATACCGATTTATTTTCTTTGCTTAATGAGGCCCGTGCACCTGGTGGAATTCAGTTTCCCTTTCTTGCGTCTAGGTTTAAGACGAATCTCACAACTACTTTCCTCAAAATGGATAGGGCGATTTCAATTAAGTTTGTTCTTTCTTCGATAAGAATTTACCCATAATTTGTGGCATTCGGAAATTTAATTCTTCCCTGTTATATATAGGAAAATATAGTCACTACTAACACAAAAACATATAAATTATTTAATTATTTTACACTACTCAATCGAAAAGTGTCAAAATAACTTGAAAGTTCGTCCCGCATTACATCATGCGCGGTTTGGACGAATTTTGAATTGAAAGTCAGCATACCTTTAGTATGTGTATCCTGTGTGTATCGTGAAAATATACAAATTTTTAACAATTTGACAAATTCCAAATTATTTTGATAACTGCCACCTGACATAATAACATGGTGTAATTAATCTACGACTTGCCAAAATCTAGTAACTTTCTGTTTCATCCATTTTACAATTAAACAATAAAGAAAGCGAATGGACTTGGGGTATTTTCGAGACTTTATATACATTGACAAACCAAAAAAATTCGTGAAATATGTTCACTACTAAGATAGTGACATCTGACATCGTATAATATTTTGTTGAGAAACAAGTGTAACCAACTTTGACGTCACGATGGATACTACACGGTCCATTAATTCGTTAAAAAATAATTTAGTTTTAATATTTTACATTTTTTTTTTTTTTACTAACAAACTTATGGAACTCCTTTTTAAAATATATTGTTTGTTTTAGGTTTGGGCTTAAGGACCTATACAGATTGCTGTTCCAAATTATGTTTTAGGAAATGGCAATTTATGATTTTACTCATAAAATTTCTCAAGTAAAAGCAGACTATGAAAAATTATATTTCTTAGTTGGTACAGTCTGTATCAAATCGATTTTCGCACAAATTATTTTTGTGAGTAGAATATATTTTGTAAATATATATGTGTTCGAGCTAGTTTTAGGCTTTAAACAAGTGATAGTCTTCAAATTGAATGAATCAAATTATCAGTATTAATTATATTTTAAATATCGTTAGATGACAAGTTTGAAATTTCAGAGTTTGTTTTCAGTATTTAAACATGGACATTTTAGAGCAATTTAAATACGTTTCTGCAATTATTGAAGTTTTAGAAATTGTAATTGTTGATAAAGATATTAAAATTTACCATTTCACGATATTTATGACACGTTAATTGAAAAACTTAGAATAATCATACATATAAAGACCATTTCACCTATTTACGTCATAACTAACATATGAAATAAGTGAACTGACCGGCGACAGATGTACAAGTTTCCACAAACATACAATAAAATTAAAAAATAAATATCAAAATGGATATATTTTTTCTGCAATTTTTGGATATATGAAAATATATAATCCCCAATTCGTCCTACGAAATTATGAAAAAAATACCCCATCTCCCTAAATTGAAAACAAACTAAAGAAAAGTTGAAAAAGCTGAGAATTAAAGAAAAGAAAAATGAATGCATCAACCAGGGATCGAACTTCGGCTAGGACAGTCGAACTCGTAGATTTAGAGTCAATCAGATTCCGACTCTCGTCGGCACACACACACACACACATCCTCATCCCATCCCAGCTCTCTCAGTTCATCCCCTGTGTCATCGTGTAGAAAGACGATAATCTATGATTATACTAGAACAAATTTCTAAGATCCATCATTTGTTCACCGGTGTTAAGTTTTCGAGTATGATCCGATGTAAACGTGAAATGACAATGAAAAATTAGTGAAAAAATCGGTTGAGATTTTTCTGTTATAATATTCTAAGATATGATAATATAGATTTAAAGGAAAATCGGTTATTTTGAAACTCCACACAGGCTATTCGTTGGCTTATTGCTTATTTAGTTGAAGCCTACCAATTGTATGTTACACTTTGGATTAAATGGTTGGGTGTTTATGACGATTGGAGGTACGCAATTTGTATAACAATTAACTTTCAGAAAGACATTAAGACAAATTTTTTAATAAATTTAAAAATCAGTTATTCTCTTCAATAAAAGAGTCTTCATCGTCCAAATCAATAATAATCCAAGTTTCATCTTGATTGTTATCCATAGAATCATGAAAGTCTGTACTCTTGGGTTTTTTGGAAAACTAATCCCGCATTTTTCACTCCCATTGTTAGTTTTAGCACGTACAGTTTCGAATCATTTACCCATATTTTCGTAACCTTTTAGGTTATTTATTTTATTTTATATTGCCCTTTCAAAAATATCCACGTTTCATCAAAAAAAAAAAAAAAAAATGTTTTTTGTAAAAGAGTCTTCTATTATTTTCATTTTTATATAAAAATCCACACTCTTTCATAGGGACAGTGTTAATATTTCTTAAACGCTAACAGATAGAAGGTTGGTTAAATTAGAGAAAAATTACGCAGTTTTGTGCTTATTAAAATGGTGCCAAGAAACCTTTGATATCTAGAGGGAGATTTAAAATATCGGACAAAAAATGAAAATTTAAATTTCTTTAACACTCGAACACATTATTTTACATAACTGACTCAAAGCGTCATAGGACATTAGTGCAATATGGATTTATTTTAGGACATGGGTTCTTGTACTCAAATCTTTTTTATGATTGCACCTCTCGACGTTTGATCCCATAATTCTGATTCACCTCGGTAAATCGTTCATTATATGATTAGATTGACTTAGGCCCATAATATATTCCCTGATGAAAATCGGTGAAAAGGACTATATATGTTAGATGATTAAATGCATTTATATATTTTAAACATTTTTTTAGGAATATTCAAAAATGTTCATGTATGTTATAAATGTTAAGATGATTAAATGTTTTTATATATTTTAAACAATTTGTTAGGAATATTAAAAAATATATTGTTTGTGTTTATATATCGGATGTATTTTAAATTCTTTTCGATAATGTATGCTCAATTTTAAGCTAAAAAGTTATATTAAAAGTACATGTCTATAGAAGCAACGGCGCTCTTTAAATTTGGCACTAAAAAATTGATATTTTATTTATGTTTTTTAATAAAATTTAGTGTTTCTAATCTTTATTGAATCCAAGCTTTCATTAAATAACATACACTACTTTTCGACATACTCTCCATCTATCTCTATAGACTTTTGCCATCTTCTTGTGAGCTTCATTATATCTTTTTTATGAAAGGTTTTTGGTTGAGTGGCAAGCCAGTTTTGCACAAAGATATCCACATCGGCATCGTCTTCAAACTTTAGGACGCCTAAAGCTTCTCGTCCGCTTGGGACTTAGAAAGGGTATCTTCTCCATATTGTTGTCGAAGTCTTTGGAAAATTTCTGATGATTTAATATTCTCGTTGCAAAGAAATTTTATAATTCGTTGCGCAACAGAAATATGAACTGATTGTTCCGTCTTCTGTGTACATTTAAATAAAATCGATATTTTTAAAGTGATAGTGAGATTCTTCTAAAAATCCAGAATGCATCGAGTTTCCAGATTTTAGGCCATCTATCGGTATATCTAGGAATGAACACTTGCGATGAGGTGAGGTATCAGACACACATGGTACCACTTGATTTGTATCCAACGGTGTGACCAAATTCGTTAACAATCGACTATGCTACAATATTCCACGTCCTCGTGGAAGTCATGGAGTTAAGATTCTTTTTCATTGAATGGGCTCGTGCCACCTGATTCACTTTAGTCAACATATACTATCTATAAATGGAATTAAACTAATATATTGCACAACCGCCATTTTTTCTGGTTATTTGTTCGTTTTTTTTTTTGTTTTTTTTTTGTTTTTTTTATTCCACAACCGTCAGTTTTTTTTCTGGTTTCTTGTTCCTGGTTTTTTGTTTCTGTTTTTTTTTTGTATGAGTCTAGAATTCTGGAATATCTAGAAAACTGAAGCAAATGGAGTACATTGGTATCAAAGTGATATTATAATGGTAAGAAGGGTACGACGTGTCGGAATTTAGTCATCGGCCAAGAGAACGATACTCTTGTGATACGGTTACTTAGTCATCTGAACTAGCAGTCGGAGAGTTTAAGATGACAACGATCGAATATACCCTCAACTTTTCAATAGAAACGTTATTCCTGAGCTGAACGATAGTCTACTTTTGCTTGTCAAAGGAAACAAGATCCTTGAATTGGACTTAACCTACCTTAACTTTTAAAGGTTAACAAGATGTTTGAACAAGGCTCAGTCCACTATACAAGAGAAGCAAGATTCTTGAACTAAACTTAGTCTATCGTTAATCCTCACATTGAAATGCAAATCAGCTGTTTTTGTGTATTTAAACGAGCTGTCCCAACATATATGTTCAGAAACGAAGAACAATTACCTGCATTTCTTTCGATGACAGATTCGTGACGACTACTTATAAACATTTGCTTCATTAGTGGTTTCGACCTTTTCTGTCATGACTGTTCTTGGAGGTACAGCACTGTCTTTTGTCTGTGAGGGATCATCCTAACATATGTCTTTTGTGGTTGAAAAGTTACCATCTACTGGCAAAATTCTTACTTGCTAACTAGATACATTCATCAAATAGCCGGGTTGCTTTATAAAACTGTGAGCAACTAAAATTGGTATCATTTGAGCATGGTTTGATACGATCATAGTTTTCACTCGTCCTTCGGTACACTCTATTTTAATTGGAATCGTGGTTCTACCATAAACACTTACTGTAATTTTTGTCCGTTCTGCGATTAAGCCTCACTCATTGTTGTCAGCTGTTCCTTTAGTCGCTCCACAGCCCGAATCTGCATAGGTACAAGAAGGCTTTTCATTCACTCACAGTCAAAGAAATATGTACATTTATGTGCATCGAGAAAAATCAGGTGAATAGAGTTTTTCTTCAAAAAAATTCTATAATTTTATGACACTGAAATGGGAGCTAGGGTGGTACCTGTTCAATTCAGAAATCTTTTAGTGGCTATAAGATTTCCATTAACGGCTATGAGAAATTCCTCAATGGGGACTTAGGCAACGCCGTTTTCCACAAACCATCGGTTTAACATTTTAATATTACAGATAAATACTATATAACCACGCACAGGCTTATCTTCTATAGGTTTCTTTTATTTTCTCAACATTGGACAATTCTTGATTTTGTACTTTAACCAATTTCATCTTAAGGTGACCACATTCTTGATGGATACTTCTGACAAAGCTTTGTGACATTCGTGGTCTGTTCCGGGTGAGTAGTGTTTGTCTGCTATCTGTATAGATGAGCATGTTCCTTCCATTGATATTGTTTCTGATTAACTTTTTTGTTGAGAATCCCCTTGAGCTCGCACTATTGCTCGCATCCCATTTTATGTTTAGGTTTAAGGATCATTGTATAATCCCATCACATGAATGTGTTTTAGCAAGTAGTGATCCTTTAGTAATCCTATAACGGTGGATATCTGGGGTCTTGCAACTTGTAGTGGATCAGCAGCCATGAGTGGGTTTGACCTCCTTAACTTGAGCTTACTGTACTCTTCCAGTGGATTTGGTGTGATGCGCAGGGCTAGCCTGTGCACCAATATGACAAACTACGTACTTATCTTAAATGAATCCAGTAATGTCCTTTAGCTTTATATAATAATTAGTTACACTATCACAAACTGTGTTCTACTTTTACACAACACACTACATGGTTTGATCCCATTCAATTTCCGGACATGATGTCAGTTGCCAAATAGTGATAATAATATTATTAGTCTTGATATGTGTCTGCATAGCGCCATACCAAGAGATCTTCACAATGTTGCACAAGACTTTGTTCTGGAATGAGTGAGTTATTTTGATATTACTGTCTTTAGTACAATTCCACAACTGAGTGTCGTAAAGCCACACACCGCTTTAAATATCTGTTAATGGTTTAGTTATTTATTATATATAGACCATTTGGAATTTCAACCAATAAGCCAATAGTGGTGTTCATATTTCACGCCGAGTTCTGTCATTTTCTTCAAAACGTGCTATCTCCATTGTGATTTGGTATTAATTTAATAAGATAATCTTTTTAGTTTCAGTAACATATTTTGTTAAAAAAAAATATTTAAAAAAAATCAAATGCATCACGTATTCAATGAAAATGAAGCCTTTGTATATTATTGAATGGTATTTAATAGTCCAAATAATAGTTCAAACATGTGAAACAATAATAATTGAAAGTCAATTTTTTGCGCCTTCTTTAGAGAGCCATAGCTTCCTTAGCAAGGAATAACTTTATAACTTACCTTTATTTAGTATTTGCATCTTCGAATTGACCATAAAATCAACCTCTGAAGTATTGGACTGTACTTAAAAATATACTATAACTCAGTTGTAAGAACGCTTGTTAAAATTCTCAAAAGCTAATGATTCCTATAACTTTATTAGAAGTGCTTAAGTTCAGGTCCATAAATATTAATTAACGTTGTTGCAGCTGGTTACATGTATATATTTCATAAGTTTTGATTTATATTAAAAAACATTGTAAATAATAGATGTTATGTTTAAACCATGTATTATGTACTTCGTGATTGTGGTCTAAATTAAAATATAAGTCGCAGATATTAACATATAAATAGTGTAAATACATAAATACCTAGGATCAAACATTAATACCGAAATTTGAATTTGTTGTACCGTGCAAATGTCCGGTATATACCTACAGTGGAAACTCGATTATTTGGTCACTTATATGGATTCACTATTATTCAGATTGCTTATATTAAAAATGTCAAATATTATTAAGTGCAAAGGTGTATAAAAAGGCTCTTTATTTCTCACAAAGTCAATTTATTGGCGACCGTTTTAGAATTTATTACTTCATCATTAGGCACACCTAAATGGAAAGTCATGGAGCCAATATATTAAAAAGTGAAAATTATACAAAAAAATTAAAGCAGAAGGAAGAGGTTGATAATAAATTGACTTACTACCTTGACATATCTATTACGGATAAGCTAGGTTATCAAATATTACTCACTTTTAAAAATAAATTAATGTTTAGCCATTACCAAATAAATACATAGGATGAAAGGGTTAAGATTTAACCAATTTTCATGGGTAATAGCTAGCATCAAAACTAAAACTAAAAAAATCACATGGGTCAAAAAAAAACATTCCAGTACTTTTCTCTAAAACTGCCAACGGTGCAAATAGACGATCTCAGTAAATAAGCTATATTATATAGTGAAGAGTAGAGGGCGGAATATATGAACCAAAATGTAATCATATTAGGCACATATATATGCATATGCATGGGCGTCGTTACACAATTCTATAGGGAGGGGCAAAAATTTTAAAAAATTTAGAATGTTTATTTGTTGAAAAACAAAGAAAATGACAGATAAAAGAGCAATACAAATTGACAAAAGTTTCTAATAAATAAAATAACCCAACAAAAAAAGACAAAAACTAAAACACATATTTTTAAAAAACAAACAAAAGTTGTGATATAGAAAAAAAATATGAGAAGAATACATAAAAATAATAAAAAAAAAATATTTATAGAAACATAAAAACTCACTCAAACACGTCGACGAAAAAAAAGTAAACGCAAATTTTTAATTTCTTCTTCCTCTACTAAAAATAATCGATAACAGAAAACATGATTTCTTTTTAGTTTTTTACAATTATTTTTCGATGTGCGCTCATTATTCAAAGCCCAGTCAGCCTATTTTCATTGATTATTCGCTCTGTGCGTGATAGCAGCGCTAACTAATTTATAAACTAACGGACGATATTTGCGTATACTGGCAA